AGGCTCGACATCTTTCTTCAACAGCCGCAGTGGCAGAACGGCACTGGATATGTGTTATTGTTTCACAAGATTCAATTATCCTTCTTCGTAAGAAATTAATGTCATTAACCGGACTTGCATAGTTTGGGGTGACATTAAACAAAACTTCTATGCAAGTCACAGTTTTAGATGATTGTCATCAACAAAAATGATATTTTTTAATTAACAACTCATTTTTGTTTAGTGCAAAGCTGTGTGATAGCGCCAATATCAAGAAGAATAAAGTAAGTTTTGTGAATAAAATGAAGGTAAATATAATATGTTTTTTCTTTATTACTTTATATTATTTTACTAACCATCATATTCCTTAAATATTATATTAGAAAAACAAAACAATCTTTTTTCCAGGACTACATTTCCTTTTCTGGCAATAGAGATGTAGGGTGTGGTCAAAAATATAACATGCAGTTTTATAATTTTTTTTTTAAATATATGGCAACGTTTCGGCCTAAGATTTACATGTGAAAAATTACATGTAAAGGACCATATGTGTAAAAAAAAAAACAAATGCAATGTTATGCGTAATGGTAAAGATCAAAAGAAATGGAAAGGGTTAAGGTCTGAACGAGAGCGAAACAAACAATTGTCGAAGAAGAAAATAGTAGAAATAAAACAACACACAAATTAAATGCCAGATTTGTGGAAAAGCAAGAGATACGTATTGTTTGTCAGTTTTGTGATTGATTGAGTTAGATTCTAGATGTAAATAGATTCAGAGTATTTTGTCGTCAAGTTTTAAATATCTGATCTTAATAGAAATTGAGATTTCAAGCTTAGCATCTATTGAGAATATTTAACTCAACAAAAAGTCGGAATTATATTAATTTATTTTCCCCGCTTTATGGAAAATCTTTTGTTTGTATACATTTACTTTTATTTTTATTAGTTTCTGTATTATTTATTGTAAATAGAGTGTTAATGTGCTCTCTGAACATTATTATAAATGTCCTTAATTGTGACAGATTGTAATATTTCTGAATAAAATCTTGGAATATACTTTATGGAAAAAATATACTTTATGACATATCTTTACATCTTCCGATTAAATGATTCTGAAACTTGCATATCAGAATTTATGGAGCTATACGAGGTATTATACGAAATTGTATTTTTTTAATTAAATGTTTTTTGTTTAATGTTTTTAACTTTAAATGGAAATGGACAAACAAAATAATTATAAACCCATTCGCCTAGAATCGGCCGGTATAGGCAACTAAAATAGACGAGAGAATGGCACTATATTTAGAGCAGTACACTGGCTGCAAGCTGAGGTGAGTGAGGCTCCAAACTCAATAGTGTAGTGTATCTTCTTGTACTTTAGTGTACAGCTCCTCACTTTATTATAGTGTACCGGCTTGTTCTCTTGTGTAGTGCTCGTTCCAAGACATCAGTGTGCTGTTCCTTCCTACTTCAAAATCCTAGCATGCCTCTCTGATCATCGTCTTCTGTAAGAAAAGTTTATGGAACTATATTTAAGATTTCGATTTTTCAACCCTATTTTTTCAGACTTATTATAAAAACTATTTTATTCTATTTTCGAACTTGAAATATTCCTAGTATTAATATGATATAGTTAGTATTCGTGAACAATGTGTGTATAAGTGTGTCACGTATTGTGTTTCTGATACTATGAGTATAGGTGAGCTATTTCAACATCAAATATTAAACCTGGTCATGACCTAGTAATTTCATCATCTATTTCACAAATGTCAGTAAAGCAAACTACTTACATTGTCCTTGTTTCATTTCATTTCTAATTGAAGTTAATTAATCAAATAAATAAAAAAAAATGGGCGTATAAAAAAAAATGGCTATTTTATCAAATTCAAGATTTCAAAGGACTTAAAAAATTTTAATACTTACCAATGTTTAATTCCTTTAGTGCATTCTCTAAGCTTGTTTTATTCCATTTGACTTCTTCAAAAAAAGTCCCAGTTTAGTTATTTGTTTCAAAGAAACATGACTGTACCTTACGAAATTGTCGTAATTTTAAGGCAATATTGGAAAACAAAATTTCACAGCCGCTGAAGCAACTCCTGAAATTATCAAATATGAAGGGGAAGGTTTCCATGACCAGTGCACTGAGCGGCGTTGGTTTGAAAAATTTAGCAATGGAAATACGATGTTGGAAATGAAAAAGGACTCCAGGCGACCATTAATGGATATTGATGAGGTTCTGCAGAAAGCTGTTGAGTGAAATCCGTCCAGGAGTACTCGTGAACTTGCCAGGGAGTGTGTTGTGTCGAAAGATTCTGTTAGTCGCCATCTACTCTCCATGGGGAAGGTAAAAGAGAGCAGTAGACTAGTCCTTCACAAACTTACTCCTCAGCAATCAGCTAACAGGTTAGAAATTTGTGAAAATGTATTAAAGAATCCTTTTGATATGAGGCTCTTGCCTCATTCACCATATAATCCAGACCTCGCAGCATCGGATTACCGCTTATTTAGATCTATGGCCCATTTTCTACAACGGAAAATTTTTGATAATTTTGCGGAAGTTGGAATTCAAAGAGTTCTTTGACATCTATCCCAAAGAATGATATTAGCGTGGGATCGAGCAATTGGCTAGCAGATGTCTAATGACGGTAGATTCCATTGAATATACTTTGAGAATTAACTGTATTTTATATCAAAGAAATAATAATACAAATATTTGGTTGAAAAACAGTCATTTTTTTATACACCCTATTATTAGTGACACATATTCGTTCGCATGACGAAAATTACAATGTATGATGTAAATTACAGAAAAAAAAATTGATTCTTGTTCTTTTAATTTTGAATAAATTTTGTTTTTGTAACTTATTTATTGAAAAATATTACAATCTGTCTCAAAGGACAGAATAAATTAAATTCTAATTTATTTTACAACTGAGCGTAAGTAAAAGGTGTGCCAATGGCCTTGCATGAAAGAGGCAACAAAAACCCATATAAGTAAATTAATCCTAATTTTTACCAAACCGAGATAAAGCGATGTCGGCATTTAGTGAATGGTAATTACTTTATTAATTTTAAACAGGATGAATGTGAGAGGTGTCCTTCCAAGAAATTGTATTGATCACTTCTTAAAAATTATATAAGTGAAAGTAGAATTAAAAAAGTTGTAGATTATTTACAATTCCATTTGCTCAGGTATGTTATATTTTTTCCTTTATTTCCTCTGGTTGGAAAGTTCCACATTGATTCCACTCACAAATAAGATTTATAACCATGTCAAAATATGACCCCATCTAAAATTGATATCCTTTTTAAAATTGTGCCCTTTCATAAAATTTCGATGGCACGCCATGTAACACTATTCTGGGGGGACCCCTCGTACATGTATTCATCCAGGTCTGTAAAAATGTTCATGGTCAGTTGAGTTTCGGTGTAATGATGAAGTTATCAGTAATGACAGGCACGAGGAAGAAATATACCGGTTGTTGATTTCCCTGGTATTAAGCTAGTTTGATATATTACGTCAGTAGATCTCTCGCTCGTGTCCTTTTCCTTGTTGAATCCATTTATTTGTTTTTAGCATCCAAATAATTTATCATAAATTCTTTTTTAATGAGTCCATAAATATTCAAAAAGTTGGCAGATTTCATTCAGTATGTTTATTATTGTTCATCTAAAAATGATCTGTATGCTATCAACGTTTATCATTGGGAACAAATGATTACAAATATCAAACAACATGAAATGTTTAAATGATTTTTATGAAATCATTGATCTTAGCTTAACTATTTCCAAATAGTTAAGCAATGATCAAATAAATGACGTACTGTTTTTTTTCAGAATAAATTTCTTGTTCGGATTCCATTGATATCTTGCTAGTTTCACTGTGTTGTGGTTCCGTGTTTGTTTTGAAATAAAATTAAATTATGTTTACCCGAACACTCTTTCTAAAATATATGTTAATATACTAGTTTATATACCTTTTTATTATTGTACGGTATATCCAAATTTAACTTCAAATTTATTTTAACAAATTGATTTATGAATAAGAGACCACGACGATTCATTATGATGTTTGACGTTTATTAATACCGTTTAAAATAATACTTAAAGAAATTCAAAGGTGATATATCTTTATCTGCAAGCTAGTAATTTAATTGAAATAGGTTGAAATTCAGCTCATACCAAAATTAAATCCAATGTTATTTATTGTTTCACGGTGTCTTAGCAAAGTAGAAACAAGCATCCTTCTGAATAGGAAGCAAACAGGAGTCAAGAACTTGAAATACCTTTGAATTGATAAAAATTGTTTGATTGTGGTTGTTGTTTGATAAAAATACCTCGAAAACAGTCAACCCTAGTAAAAACGTCTTAGAATAAAAATGCATTAAAAACTGTATTTTTTATCTATCTTGCACATCTAGCAGTTTTCACTGTAATATGGCTTAGTGTTTTTAATTCTTTATTGTATTAACAAAGTTTATTCTCCTATATTTGAACGTTTTCGAAATAATTTTGGAAAAAAAAAAAATTGTTTTTTCTCTCGAGTTGTTCGCATTACTGACTCTAGATCAATCTATTTTCATCAGTACTATTTTCATCAGTCATTGCCTTTACTAGGGGTGAAACATAATAAATAATATTGATTTTGATGATATTTGGAAAAATTTAACCACACAGCCTTATATCTCCAAAAATCAGGCAAAGAATAAAAATATCCGTTAATGATTCGCCAAAGCAAATTGAAGATCACAACTTCATGACGCCTACTCACATACTTGAAGGAAGTTAATATATAACCAAACAGCTGATCAAGGGGAAAAAAAGGATTAATAAAAAATCTGAAATATCCAATAAAAATTCATAAATATGTTACAAAAAAATTTCTAAGTAAAAATGTAAAAATATTATAATGAGAGAAAAGATTTTTCCTATTTGGAGATAAGACCGTGTGGTTGGATTTTTCTAATTTTTGATTTTATGTGATTTTCATTGAATTATAATTAGAGTAAACACCTTAATTTGACTAGAATACATTAGAGAATACTTTCTTGATGAAAATAAATTTTAAATTTCCTTTTTGATTTACATATTTTTTTGTTAAAGGTAGAAATGTTGGAGCCGGTAACTTGTAAACTATGTGGTAAGCAATCAAAACAAAAATGCGCTGGGTGTTTGTCTGTCTCCTACTGCTCCAGAGAGCACCAAAAGCTCGACTGGAGTTCTCATAAAAATGCCTGTTGCTCTTTTACGGTAATTATATCAATTAATAATATAAACGAATTTTATCAAACTAAAAAAATTGTTATAAGTTATTGTGTTATTAGTTATTATGTTGTGATATTATGAATATGTTATATTAATTGGAAAATTCTAGACATAATGTAGTTAGTAATTTAAAGGTAAAAGTTCGCCATGCAAACCGGACAAAATAAATCTCATAAAGACGTATTTAAATTGTATTCCAACTGAATCAAAGAATTTGTGTTAAGAAGTGACAACTATAATCATACAAATAGCATTAGGAAATGTGGGTTAATTTATAACCTTTGGCAATATTTTGCCTGAATATTAATTAAAATTTAATTTTTTTTTAAAGGAATTATATTTGCAATTATGGTTTTGTCCTCGTTTGGTGTCCACATTAGAAAAATTCCAATTTTTCAAGTAGACACTATTCCAACATTTTCGCAATTAAAAAGAAAATTAAATATTGAGTATATAAGAGTATTTTACTATTCCTTAAAGGTAATTTTCATATCTAATGCAATAAATCATTGGTGAGGAACATTTTTTATCATCAGAGGCCGCAGTAAGGTTAGGCCGAGCTAATGAATTATTAGCATAATTCTTTATATTTTACAGTTGTTATTTTTTTTATAAATAAGTAAAAATCCATATACATATATTTAAAACAAAATATATGATAATTGACCGAAAATTCCACCCCAATAACATGATCTGCGAGTAAGGAAAATTGTTCCCGATATTAAAAGAATTTAAATACCTCGCTTCCATAATAACCTCAACGAATAACCGAGGTCGGAAATAGAACAGTGTACAACAAACACAAACAGAGCTATCTTTATCCTTTTAAAGGTATTGAAATCCCAAATTAAGGATGTCCAACGTGATCATCATGGTTGCGAGACCTGAATACTAACCAGCACTCTAGAAAAAAGTATTGAAAGAGTTCAGAGAAAAATCCTTCGCACGATAACCTGAGGGTTCTGGGATCAGAGTACTAACACACGAAGATAAATAAAGAGCTGCTTACAGAAACTGGTCAAGATATGAACTTCAATTAAAAACTTCATGATATGAAGGCACGGAAGTTAAGATGGGCTGGACATGTAGCTCGGAGCAATTCATCTGGAAGCTTTTACATAACAGAAGACAAAAGACCAATGGAAGGCCAAAAATAGATGGATAGATAAAATCAACAAAGATGTATTAGAGCTGCGTGCAGATATCTGGAAAGAAATACCCTATGATAGCCAGAGATGGAGTAGGCTTTTAAGGCAGCAAAAGATCGAAAAACAAATATGTAACCTAATTCTATTAATTTTCAAAATTTAAATAATTAATTCTAGTGCTAGATTAATGAATATCGTACAACAAACGGAGGCCGCACCCATAGGCGGATCTACAGCGGAGCGGGAGGCTTCAGCCCAAACCCCCTCCCCCCAAAATGGTAAAATATAATCATGTTTTACAGAAAAAATATTAAAAACTATCTCTTAAAGTATTCTTGTTCCTGTAATTACTAGTGTTGCCCAAAATCGGTCGCAAGGCCGCCTAACTGTTGCAAGACCAAGAGCAGGACTGGTAAAAAAAATCGATTTCAAAAATAAAAATTAAGGCAAAATAGTTACTAATACTTGACAATCTTAGTTACTATATGTAAATAATTGATATAACAAATATACTTTTGCATTTAACTCCTCTAATTTTTCATTCGGGCTTAGTTAGGTTTATCCTATCTAAAAAATTACAGTAATATCTCTATAGTAATAAGCTAATAAGTAACTGCAAGACTGTTGCGGGACTTTTGCGCAAGACCAAGACCATGACCAAGACTGAGTTTGCAAGACCAAGACTCGTCTCGGTCTCGCATTTGGGCAACACTAATAATTACATTTAATATGACTTCAAGAACATCTTAAACACCATTTCATACAGGTAGTTAATTTCTTTCTTTTTTCAAATTAATTCTCGTTATATGTATATGAAAAAATCTTTCGGGCTCAAGCCTCCTCCCCCCCAAAAATAAATTCTGGATCCGCTAGTGGCTGCAGGTTCCTCACCTGTGGTATAGCTCTCTAATATACCTAATTTCTTTTTTATATATTCTATTTGGTATAACCTAGGTTTTTGATATTACATTGTATGAAATAGTATATATGATGCGCCTGCAGTAGCAACATTGTTTTCATAGTACTATATTTTCAACATTTTTAACAAAATATAACATCATAGTTTTTTAGGATAGTTAGGGTAGGAGTTTTAGGATGATAAATTGCGAGGTTATTACGCCCATCATAGTTTTTTATTTTCAAATAAAAAAAACAAACAAGATTTTGATCAACTTTTCTTGACTCAAAATAAAAATACAACGTGTTAAAAGATTCATGAAAGATCTTAAATGGTTCATTCTAATAATAATTCGATCTACTTTCAAGTTGAAAATTAGAACGGAATATTTAACTTAACATCTTATATGATGTATATTGCAACCAACATAAGTTAATTTAATTAAAAAAATTAATATTTTAAATTTATATATGAAGAGATAATGCATATAAACGAAATGACTGTATCAGTTATTAAACCGTTAGAACACACTCGGTTAGAGAATTTGCGATGAATTCAAAGACTTGCCCTGATTGGGAGGAGGGTGTGCTACAAATGGCGAACAAGCAGACAATCGAATCCGCTTGAAAGCGCAAACAGGAGCTTCCGGGTTGTTGGCGAGGCTGCTCGTTAAGGTTCGGTTAGTGTTCTTCATACAGTTGCCAATGTTTCGGAACTGGAGTGGGCGGGACCACTTCAACATCAATCGGAACCGTACCCAAATGGTTCGAATCCACGGTCTTTCTTTGAGGAGGATTGGTTTGAGCAAAAATTATCATTATTGAAAGTAGATATTCTAATTAATGCTTTACATGCTATGAATCTATTTAATATATATATCTATATATATATATATATATATATATATATATATATATATATATATATCTTTATCAATAGGTAAATCTGGAAGAATTGAACGCAATTTGTTTCATGTTTATTATACATAATTCAACTTATCATGGGCGTATAGAGGCAATACCTCTTAAAAAATTTTGAAAGAAAATAAAACAGAATATGATTAAAAAGAGCCCATTGCCGAAAATTGTTGTACTGTGTATATTGTGTTTCATATAAAAATATTTATAAATTTATTATTTATTTGATTTTTTTTTGTTGCCTCTACCCTGTAGGGTCATTGGCAACACCTTTGAATTACACTCTGTTGTAGAGTTTTATCATTTTTAAAAACCTTAAAGTTTTTTTGACTGCACTTTCACTGTCTTGTAGATTTTCTTTTAGACTCTGTGCCATGTCTAACTTTTTCCTTGTAGGATCAAATGTAGGGTAGTATTGAATAATGTGCTTTACTGTCCTTGCAACATTGCAGCTCTCGCAGGTCGGAGGATCAAGTTCTCTTAGTAGGTAGGAGTGCGAGAACTCACAATGTCCAATTCGCAGTCTGCAAAGGGCTGTCTCCTCTTTTCGAGATGATCGCTGAGATGTTTCACATTTTAAACAGTGGGGTTTAATTTCTTTTACTTTCGATCCCCCTTGTTCCCACTTGTTTTGCCACATGTTCCACACATTCTCCTTAATTTTTTTAGCGTAATCCTCTGGAGGGATTTCATTAATTGATTCCACGGATGTTGTATTTGGCTTTCTTGCCATTTTTTTTATTTTTATTTTATTTTATTTTATTTTCAACCCTCCCCTGCCTGAAGGTAATACGGGTATTTGCAGTAGTGGGATGTTACTGTTACATAACAACCCACTGCTGCATTTTTGGCTATTACATTATTTTTCTGAGCTGTGCACACAGCTTGCTCTTCTCTTCACTTGCATCTGGTATACTTTTATTCTTATTCTGGTGGTCTCCCCGGTGCAGCTTCTCTTCTTCTTCCCAAAGAGAAGTGGGTTGGTAGAACAACTTCTTTCCATCCGTATATAAAACTTTTAAAATGATCGTATCTTTCTTTGTCCATAAGTTGAGGAAGATCTCTCTCTGTTAGGACAAAGAGACCTGTTTCTCTCAACAGTTTCGCCCTCAGTGACTCATAGACCGTACAGGTAAGCACAACATGTTCAGGGGTCTCCGGTACCCCACAACTTGGGCATAGGGGATCGATATTTATACCATACTGAACGAGCTTTGCTCGGAAACCCCCATACCCCGTGAGAATCTGTGAAATCCAGTAGTCCGGGAGGACCCAAGTCGCTTCTAGTCGCGAACTGACGGTGGGGAAGTACTTCCTTAGAGTAGCTCCTTTGGGAGTCGTCAACCACCGTCGGTTCCAGTCCTCTACTGTATCCTCCCGGAGAATCTTCTTCCAGTTTCTTGGATCATCTCTTATTCTCACTCGGAGGTAATCCGGTAGAGCCGCTAAGCATTCTCTCCTAATCTTATTACGGTAGTAGTCTTCTCTCAGCAGGAGGTCGAGAGGTATTCCTCCTGCCAAGACCTGCACAGCCTCATGAGACACCGTCCTGAATGATCTGGATACTCGAAGCAGAGCCATCCGCTGAATCGTGGCCAATCTACATTTCTGTCTGTGCGAGAGATTTTGGCTCCAGGCAGGGGACGCATACTTCAGGATACTCACAATAACACCTTTATAAATGGTCATAGTTGCTGGGTACCTGAGTCCCCAAAATTCGCCCCCAATACGACTGAGTCCGTTAAGGGTTAGGGCTACTCTACTTCTCAAGTAGTCCAAGTGAGGTGTCACGTTGAACTTTCTTCCTATCCTAATCCCAAGATAGGTGACAACCTCACTTGGACGTATTCTTGATGCTTCTACAACCATTGTTATAGGGTGAGCCCTATCAGTCGTGCCTTTCAAGAGGATGGCCTGAGTCTTAGCGGCGGCCATCCTGAATTTCTTCTTCTCGCACCACTCTTCTACTAAGTTGGCGCACCTTTCAGCTTCTTCTTTCAGTCGGGTTCTGCTGTTTGAGGC